GGCCTGTGGGGGCCATAAAACTTACTCAGCTCACTTCTAACCTTAGTTTCACTTTTACCAAAGAAATATATAGAGTGGAAAAGTGAGACTGAGATCAAAAGTGAGCTTGTCTAAGTTTTATGGCCCCCAGGCCAGGTACCGATGTCCACCGATTCAAGTTGAAACTTCTGTATTCCTTCTACCAGTTTTAAGGTTAAGATTTGTCTCATGCCATTAAACATGATAAATTCCTGTCTGAGCATTATACCCCCGCTCCGAAGGAGAGGGGGATATACTGTTTTACCTTTGTGTGTCTGTCTGTCCATCCGTGTGTCTGTCCGTCACAAATTTTTTGTCACAGTTTTCTCAGCAACTACTCATCACAGATGCTTGAAATTTTAATACAATCTTCTCTGAGGCATGCCATATGGTGGGATACATTTCTGGTCAAATCCGATGTCAACTTCCTATTTTTCTGTGCATCTGTCATTTCATATATAACAAATTTTGTAGGAGTTCTCAGCAACTACTCATCACAGATGCTTGATATTTTAAAACAATCTTCTCTGAGGCATGCCATTTTATGGAATGCATTTTTGTACAAATCCGATGTCAACTTCCTGTTTGTCTGTGCTTGCCTGTCCGTTTCATAACAAATCTTCGTCGCATTTTATACGCCCGTCTTAAGACGGGACGTATTATGTTATAGGCTTCGTGTCCATCCGTCTGTCCATCTGGTCCGTTAAGCTTTTTCTTTTCTGGCTCATAACTTTAATACTATTAGGCCTAGGATTATCAAACTTTGTCATCTGTTATGCATCTTGGGTAGAAGGGTGTCGCGCACAAAAAGTAGGTCGCTGGGCTCCTATTAAGAAGTTATAGCCAAATATGGAAAAATCCTTTCCAGCCCATAACAAACTAGAAAACTAGAAAGACTAACAATTATGAAACTTGGCCAGTTTATGCATCTTAGGTAGAAGGTGTGTCGCGACCGTATTCAAGGTCACTGTGACCTTTAATTTAAGTGAAATAAAAAAAAAAAAATGTGTCTTTTTACTATTCATTTAAGCATCCCAAATTATGTAAGAGTATTGCTCTCTTCTTATTAAAAAAAGTGTTAAATCAAGAAAATACTTATTTTTTAAGCATATACTAAGTACTTGACAGCAATCTATAACAAATATGTGTTAGAGAAATTCCACCTCTCCCGTGAGTGTAATTATCAAGCACTGGTCAAGAAGAATTCTGATAACAGAAAATTGCATGTCAAATTAGAGAGAAATTAAATGGGTTTTGAGTGCGACGAGCTAACTGACAAAGCATTGGTATTATCTATATCCCTTGAGTATTGGGCAGATGGGGTAAGCCTGTTGGATTGAAAATAGCTCTTGTTGGCTAGCCTAAGTTTTAAAATGAATTTTATGAAAAGTAATTAAAACAAATTTGATATTGCATAGTAGACTAATCTGATATTATATAATATTATTAATAAAAAAACTAATTTTAAGGGGTGGGGTGGAATCAGCATGTCCAAATGAATTACATATTAAAACCTGTCGGACATTAAATTTCAACCAAAAAAAATTGTTGAATATTTTATATGTTTAAAAAAAATTTATGGTAGATAGTGCAGACCCATTCATCTCTTGGTAGTAATAAGTAGACAAGCATCCAGTTAAAGATTAATTAATGAGTTCAGTGTAGGAAGGCTAGCTGATCAAGCGTCTTATCTGTATCCTTTGGGGATTAGACAGAAGAAGTGCTGGTCAGTTTATAGCATATGTCATTTGATGGCCAGGCCTTTTCTTTTCAAAATTAATTTGGTATAGATTAAGTGTTGAGACTAATTTGATATTGTTTAATATGATGGGCATTTGACTAGGTCTAACACTGAACCAGCATAGAAATCTGTCAATGATGTAATATTTATTATAATTATAATGCCTACATCACAGGGGATGGATAAATGTTTTAAGGAATGGAAAAATCATGGAAATCTTAGAATCAAGGTTGATATGATTTTCTTGCACACTAAACTGTTCAAAAAGATTGTAATTTTTTGACGGGCATATCATGCTGTGGCGCGGCACTTTATTCTCATTAGCTAATCATAGCAGATGCTTGAAATTTTATCACACTCTTTGTTGAGGCATGCCATATGGTGGGATTAATTTTGATATGAATCTGATGTCATCTTCATATTTTTCTGTGCATCTGCCTGTAATTGAACTTGTGTATATTAACATGATAGTGCTTATATCAGAGCGGGGGTATTACTAGTGAGCATTGGCTCACAGATTTCTTGTTTAGGACTCAGCATGATATACAATTGTTTACCTGTAAACATGCCTATTGAGACAGCATGATATACAATTGTTTACCTGTAAATATGCTGGATTGAGACAGCATGATATACAACTGTTTACCTGTAAATATGCCTGATTGAGACAGCATGATATACAATTGTTTACCTGTAAATATGTCATTGAGACAGCATGATATACAATTGTTTACTGTAAATATGCCTGATTGACTTGTTTCAGATTCATCACAAGACAAGGACAGAGTGACATCCAGAAAGTAGGACCTTGTCTTGACCTTTTTATGTTTTTGACCTTTTCTTCTGTATAATGTGCTTCGGATATAAAACTGAGACCTTTAAATACACCGAATACTGTCAACAACTTCATGATGGTTTGAGTTGTTTTTCATTGTTTTCAGTAAAATCAAGATGAGCACTTTGTGCGTAAAATAATGTTACCTAGCAATGTTTTTTTAAAAATACTGTAGACGTACTTTTTTCCACGGGGTCATAATTCCATGGAATCTCAATTTCTGTTTAATCCGCCGGTAGAAAATTACGCGGATTTTCTAGATTGTCACTATATTTGCCTTACAATTATATTAAGTACGCTTGGACAAATTTCCGCAGAAAAATGATGAGCGCGTCATAGCGTAAATTAATACCACGCGGAAAACAGTACTTATACAGTATATAAAAGTATATATTGAAACGCTTTCAAGTCTTAACAATCATTAATATCTGGGTAGTGAGATGAAGCCCCAGGAGTTATTAAGTCTGTACCTAGACATGTTACCTGTGAATATCAAATGACACTATTTATAGAATGTCTTTTCCCCACAGTTCAGATATAGCATAATAAATTAAGTTAAAGCTAATTTGTTTTCATTTGTGTTTACAGAGGAGGAAAAAAAGAAGACAAAAATGCCGGAAAACATTTAACAGGTAAAAATGAGTGGAGACTAGGGCAGTATTAATTTAACTCTTTCAACACTGAGTAACTTCTATCAACCAACCCCTGGTACACTGAGTAACTTGGGGCCTGACTAAACATTTCACCTTCCATCACAAAAAATACTATAACTTCTTTATTTTTTTGAATATTTTAATAAATGACACATCATTAGAAAGGTGAGGCATTTCTCTTTTAAATGATATAAATTTTAGATATATACAAAATTATTTATCATGTCAAAAACACTAATAAAATTCATAATTACATTTTATAACGGATCTTATGCAATATTTAATAAATTTGCTGCTATGAAGTTTCAAAATCTATTATGTTCTTACCATCGTTCAAAAGAGAAATTATTTGCAAGTAAAATGATATGCGATATGTCAGAATTTATTGAAAAGTAAGTCCATAATTATTAATAAATAAAACAGTGTGTTTCAGGACATCGGAAGAAGTGGACGTGGAAAACATCCTCTGTTTAGGAGCCTTGATATTCCGATTCCGAGTCGAACTTTCTCCGATAAGATTTCACAACATTGCTAATAACTCATATTTTTGTTGTTTAGAAACATCTATAATGTCTAATTCCCTGATTTTATTAAATCTTTCATCGCCAGAAGGATCGGACATTTCGTTGTTTACCGCCATTTTGCTTTCTTCTTCGTTTTCTTTACTAATCATCTAATTTTCCTTATTTTTTCGTGGTTTTCGCCATGTGGTCCACCATATTTGTTAACGGATGTTTACATCATCTACCCATAATTCATAGCGAAAGATTTTGCGCAGAGAACACTTTCTATTTCTAAGAATAAATGTTTTGCTTTCAGTTTAGTGTATCAAGTACCGATGTATCGGTCTACCGTGTTCCAAGACAAAATTTTATCAGACCGATGTATCGGTCTACAGTGTTAAAAGGGTTATGGAATAACTGTCTTATTTTTCGATTTCATGATGTGATCAATCGATTGGCTTGCATGAAAATCTGGCATTTATGCTTAAATTTTCACACAAGCCAATCGATTGATCATCGTCACTAAATTAAAAAATCTGACAGTTATTCCGGACATTTACATGCTTTGATTCCGCCAATCCACATGCTCCAAGCCTGGCTTCTGTCTAGCTATTTGTTCAGCCCTGCACGTGATTTTTAGCCGGGCTTATTGCTCAAAGAGCAATTGCCGGCTTATGTGATCCTGTTCAAGGCAGGATGTTAACCCCATAGTCACCATTTTAAACTTACGTGCAAAAATATAGTTCTCTTACTCTCAACCGCTTTTGAGATAATACAAACGCTAAATAAAGCAACAAAAATAAAACGAAGTTTTATCTATATAAAATAAACATTAGTAATGACTTTGAAAACTTCATAAGTCAAAGAACATAGTTCATTAGCTTAAGGATTTTTTATCATCAGTGTTATCGTAGTTCTCTGCACATACGAGGTAAAGCAGGAGAGGGAACCAGACTGGCCTACATTTAGCTGCGGTACCAGATTAATTCTGATTCTGACAAAATCGGACCGTGGTGTTAGGATTGAAAAACTCACTGTCAGTGTCTTATCATTTATATTGATCGTTTTAAAATAATTTTTTCATCAGAATATAAACGAGATTCATGTAAGAAATCCATTCTACTCTGTAAATGAGCCCGGCTCTCTCTACTTCTGAGTACTTTGATTTTTTAACCGCGCCAAAACATTGATAGGGAAATAAAGTACATTTACAATTTGTAATTTTATATCGGACAAAGACATTGGAAATGTAAATATATATAGATACGCATCGATATTCAAGAATCATACCGTATCGAAAAATAACTTCCAATACGTATCACGCAGTCATTTTTCTTCTAATTCTGTGAAAAAAGATGGGAATTTTAATCACTACACATTATATTTAACTTTTTAAATTTAAAACTGACCAATAAAAATAATCATTATGGACATAGCAGAACCTATATGATTATTACAAAATACATACGAGGGCCGATGAAAAATTACGCGGACTGTGCTATTTTTTACTCTTATATACGTCATATAGTTATAAAATTTCACAGAAATATGTATCTTAAAGATTCCAATAAATTTTGGGCAAAATTTCTGTATTTTAAAAAAATTCTAAAATTATCGGTATGTTGATATCGTTGATGGAGAGGTACGGCGCACGACAAAAAAATTGAAGCAAAAGCATGCGGATTCAAAAATTAAACTCATTGATTTTCTAAAATTCGCGATATTTTTCAACAATTTTCTCAAATGTACCTTTAAATTGTTCTATTATTCTGTATTTAGATTTCGGACGTAACATTTGAAGTACTAACAGAAGTATAGTGATTTTTCTCTGATGCGATTCCCGTGAAAACGACTGTGAAAATGACGTCTCCTGAATTGACGGCGCACCACACTTTTGTTAAAATATGTGTAATGCTCGAGATATCCGCAATATAGATCCAAAATATGCATAATAAAACATGTAGTAAACTAGGCTACTCGTGACATTCACCCACAAATAGCAAATTGAAATTTTAGACAGTTAGACCTCTGTAAAAAGGCTATACGGGAGGACGGGAAGAAGATTATAGACGAAAAGTTAACTTTATCCAAACTGTAAAGAACGTGATTGAGAGTCACCAATATCACACTATATCTCATAAGTAGTTTTTGGTTTTAAAACAAAAAAAATAGAATATTCTTTACTTGTTTAATATATGTTAAGCTTGACAAATAATGGTGTTTTGATGTTGAGTAGATAAGGTAACTCAAACTATACAGGTACTCAAGGGAAAATGTTGAGAAAATGAAAGCTCGATCACATTTTTTTATAATGCTTGTGACGTCGAAGATTTTGCTGCGCCGTGACTTAATGGTATATCCTTAAAAATCACTCAAAATTAATACCAATTTACAAAATTTTGATATGAAATTTTGAAGACCATATAAGTAAAGATCCTTTTATATTATTTGTGAAATTTTGCCCTATTATGTCCTCAAATATTTCTTCTGTGCAACAAGTCCGCGTAATTTTTGAACGGCCCTCGTACTAGATGATTTTATTTTAACATGCTGATTTTTCAGTCATTAAATGTTTTAATTTGAAGGGTTATTTGTAATAGCATTGAGGCAAGAACTTTGAAATGGATTATAAAACACTTTGTCTTTATAAATTCATGCATTAAATGACTTTTTTAATGAACTTGTTTAAGAATCAAATATATTGCATATCGCTTTAAAGAATATTGTATTGTATCGAAATTTTTTTGCTCAATATACAGCCCAAGTGAAGTGGCATGCCTTATTAAGGGGAGAGTAATTTATTGGTTTCAGAAAGTTTACCAAAAATTAAAGTGTTATTATCAGAATTTGTAAAACTGATAATTAAAGTTTGGATAATCAATAATGCTTGATTTTGACATTTGTGTAATAAGCTTGATTTTGACATTTGTGTAATATTGATAAAGCTTGATTGTGACATTTGTGTAATATTGATAAAGCTTGATTTTGACATTTGTGTAATATAGTTGTTTATTTTTTGTGTAGATTGGACTATGGATGAGTTTAGATCTCTCTTAGACTCGTTGGAGTCATCCATTAAGCAGCCCTCCCCACAACACAACAGACTGCCAGAGTCAGTGTGGGAGGAGGTCAAGGTCGAAAATCATTCTCCTGATGTTTGCAGAGCTGCCTGGACAAAAATTTGCCATGTGGTTTGTATCTAAAACTTTGATTTTTTAAGTGACTAAAGTGTTGGGGACAGAATTCCATTTTGCACCTACTCATCCTGATTGTGTTTTAGGATTAAATTTTACTTACTGAAAATCATAATGAGCTGCTTCCACTCGTTTCACCATGGCTTTGATATATGATCTTGAAAAAGGAGCACAATCTCTCTGATTTTGTCATTAAATCAAGTTCTTTTGTACCAAGCACTGAGCTGCAACAATAATACCTTTTAACTAACTACATGAGTAATTTTTTATAACAAATATTTTTGTAGCCTTTTTGATCAGTGCAAAACTTGAAAAAGTTAATGTTTTGTTGTTTTTCAGTAGTTCTATTTGTTGATTATTTTTAATAACCACTTTCTTTATCATTGATTTTAGACAAAGACCCACATGAGCCTGCAGCAGATGATTGATGTAGCTTGGGACTTGATGGAGAAAAACAAAAATGTCATCAAGGTCAGTTTTAGTGAGGTCAAAGGTCACGGCTGTAACAATATCATTCTTTTAATTCAGCATGAGGAATATGATTTTTTAGGTCTATTGCTATCCGCTTTCATCCGTCGTCGTCTGTCGTGCGTCGTGTGTTAACATTTGAACATTTTCAGCTTCTTCTCTGAAAACACTGAACCAATTTCAACCAAATTTGGTATAAAGCATCTATGGGTGGAGGGAACAAAAATTGTGAATTTAATGGTCCCCGCCCCCCTGGGGCCTGAGGGATGAGGCCAAAACCACTAAAATTAATGAAATCTTAAAAAATCATCTTCTTTACTCCTGGGCTTCAAGCAGTCAAACTGTTGGCATGATTGCAATCAGCACTGAGTCCTCAACCAAAATTGTGAAATTCATGGCCCCTGGGTTAGAGGTTCTGTGGTGGGATGGGGCTCTATTGGTTATATAGTGAAAATGCATTAATTCTTTGAGAATCTTCTTTTCTGCTCCTGGGTATTAAATAAAGTAAATGTACTTAGTTATGATGAGCAAGAGTGCTTCTTACAGAATTGCGAATTTTATGGCCCCACGGTCAGGGGTTCTGGTGTTAGGGCAGGGCTCTATTGATTATACAGTGAAAATGCATTAATTCTTTGAAAATCTTCTCTGCTCCTGGGTATTAAATAAACTAACTAAGTACATAGTTATGATGAGTAAGAGTGCCTTAACCAAATTTGTGTATTTCATGGCCCTTTTGTCAGGGGTTTTGCCATTTGGTGTAAGGGGGGCGCTATTTTGATTATATAGTAAAATACATTAATTCTTTGAAAATCTTTTCCTTTGCTTCTGGATACAGGTAAACTTCGGTATCTCGACATCGGATATGTCGACAACCTGGGATATGTCGACGTCGGTCCGCGGTCCCGGCATTATTTACTATATAAATGATTTGCAAAAACTCTGATATGTCGACCTCGGTAATGTCGACTACCTCGCTTATCTCGACGTATTTCACAGCCCCAAGAGCAAAATTTACCTGGTATATGTCGACATCAGTGCAATTTTCTGTTTTACTTAACCTAATTGTTTGTCAGCTGGTCAGTTTGTCACCTCGTTTATCTCGACGTCGTAAGAAATTCACACCTTTCCCACCCATGTTTTGACTACATACTGCTCTGTAAAAATGTATTTGTAGAGGAATCCCAAGCCCCCTCGGAGTCTCCAATACGTTAATTGTTTAATGTTCAGCTTGGGTAATTATCATTGGTAAATCTTCTCAATTCTGCGTAAATGTACAACCGTTTATTTGTGTCGAAATCTAACAAAACTTAAACATTTTGTTTAAAAAAAATGTAACTGAATAACAATAAATAATATACACATTGGATTCAATTTAACTTAAAAATTGTGGTAAAAATGCATTAAACATGAATAAATCAAACTTACGACATGCACGACAATTGCATCAGCCGTAATGTGGATGCATAGGTAACGTTTGTTAAATGCCCAATTCCATTTAAATTTTGGTTTGAAAATGAATTGAAAGTTCATGATGAATGATTATGAAATAAAAAAAAAAAGATGTGAAATGAAATTTTTTTAAAAATATGCGCATTAATTTTTTTTCCGTATCTCGGAAGTCGACTTTGCACCGTTCCGGTTCGGAGTTTATAAAGCGCATTTCGAATCCTGTTCTGACCTAATGGCTGCTATTTATGGCACGCGGATCGAATGCTGGATTGAAAACGGTTTCTAGTGAAATGAGAAGATTTTGATAAAAAAGAGAGCATTTCATGAATAACATTTGTGAATAACTTCTTTAGATTTTCTAATAAATGTAGAGGGATAGCTGAAACAAACGACTTACAGTCTAAATTGAAGACATATAGGTACCTGTAGGTACACGTCTGTTCAGTTTAGGTCTTTGGTTTTACAATGCAGTAAAATTAAGGACGTCGAGTCTCAACTCTGATATCTTGACACCTCGGATATCTCGACATTTTCCGACTGTCCCGTCGATGTCGAGATAACGAAGTTTAACTGTATTATGCAAATGATTCAAGTATATACAGTGTGGTGCCATAAGTGTTTCACGTTATCATCACGTCAAAATTCAGTGTTACAAAAAATCCACTTACCTTACTATTGTTGATTACAGGCTTCTGATATTCTTTTAGGATTTGGTTGCATGACCTTTAGCTTTAATTACAGCATTTAGTCTGTTTGGCAAGATTTTGTATAAACCCTGTTTATACACTGGGCTGAGGGATGTACAGATCTGCAGCACACAGTCAACAAGTTCTTGCCTTGTTTTGATGTTAACTTGCTCCCTTGAAAGTTTAATTTTAATTGATCTCCATACATTTTCTATGAGATTTAGGTCTGGTGATTGAGATGGCACACTCTAAATAAGGGATATTATTTTGTTGTTTCCATTCTATAGCCCTAGCTGACATGTGGGCAGGACAGTTATCCTCTTGAAATATCCAGGGGTTGTTACTAAAATGTTTGACAACAACTCGCCACAAATTATTATGTAGAAGGGTGATGTACTTATCTGTGTTTAAATTTCCATCTATTGGTGTAAGTAAGCCCACTCCTGAATAGCAGATACAGCCCCAAAACGAAACAGATAGGCGGACTCCACCATTACGGACCGAACGTATTCCGAGGCACTCCGGTCTCCATTTTTCATCGGCCTTTCTCCAGACATAAACTTTTCTGTCCGTTCCAAACATGACTTGAGTTTCATCAGAAAATATGACTTTTTTCCAGTTTTGATCCACAGACCACTGTCTGTGATCTCGACACCATTCAACACGCTTTTGTCTGTTCACATTCGAGATGGTAAGAGTCTTGGCAATTTTCCGACGATTATAATTCAAAAACTGCAATCTACGCTGATCTGATCGTTTTGACAGTGGATTTGGTATAGATCTATTTAAATTCTGATGTTAAATCACTCAAACTTTTCCTATATCTTTCATTACGAACCTGTTCAAGACGCAATCTGACTGATCAGTCATACATTTTGGTCGTCCGCTTCAAGGGTTATTCGTGACACTTTGCCGCATAGAAAATCTCTCCCAAAAACTTGGAGATTGTGGAGCGGTCATATACTGTAATTTTGGCTATTTCAGATTTGTTTCTACCTTCGTCATTAAGACGCATGATCTGTTCTTTTAGAACTGAAGACATTCACGACGATTTGCAGCCATGATTATTTATGCCTGCTAGGATATCTAAAAATAGCCCCACGTGCACCAGGGGAATCCCGAATGACGTACATAACTTCTATTTTTAGGTCACCTGAGTTTACTCAGGTGACCCTATTGCTATATATTTCGTCCGTCGTCGTTCGTCGTGCGTCGTTCGTCGTGCGTTAACATTTGAACATTTTCAGCTTTTTCTCTGCAACCACTGAACCAATTTCAACCAAATTTGACACAAAGCATCTATGGGTGAAGGGGAACAAAAATTGTGAATTTCATGATCCCTGCCCCCTGGGGCCTGAGGGGTGGGGCCAAAACCACTAAAATTAATGCAATCTTTAAAAATCTTCTTCTTTACTCCTGGACATCAAGCAGTCAAACTGTTCGCATGATTGTAATCAGCAATGAGTCCTCTACCAAAATTGTGAAATTCATGGCCCTGGGGTCAGGGGTTCTAGTGCTAGGGCGGGGCTAAATAAGAAGTTAGTGAAAATGCATTATTTCTTTGAAAATCTTCTTCTCTGCTCCTGGGTATTAAATAAACCAACTAAGTACATAGTTATGATGAGCAAGAGTGCCTCTACCAAAATTGTGAATTTTATGGCCCCAGGGTCAGGGGTTCTGGTGTTAGGGCGGGGCTCTATTGATTATATAGTGAAAATACATGAATTCTTTGAAAATCTTCTTCTCTGCTCCTGGGTATTAAATAAATTAATTAAGTACATAGTTATGATAAGCAAGAGTGCCTCTACCAAAATTGTGAGTTTTATGGCCCCAGGGTCAGGGGTCCTTGTTATAGGGTGGGGACTCAGTTTTACAAACCCTCCGCTCAAGGTTTTGAATTTTCAGAAAAAATAAAACAATTTTTTTCTTTCCGATGTCAAATTTGAGTCGGATCGAGATTTCAAATTTACGAACTCGCACTTCCGTTTTTACGATGAAACGGTGGGTAAATAAAGCTAGATCTGAGAAGATAGATTGGTTTAGTGTAAAACCCATCGATAAGAGTGCCATTCAAAACGTTTCACCCGTTCAAAGGACAAATAAAATGCTGACGACTTTGTTGCACAATGACATGCTGGTGAGATAATTATGTATTCGTTTCAAAAGTAACTGTAAATTATTTTCCTCCCCCAGGTTTTAAACTGCCCGTGGTAGCTATTGCATATTGCCAGGGACATTGTTTAGGTCTCTGTTATAGCTTACAGTCTACGCACCATTCTTCAGAAAAGGGTTGCTTATGCATCAGATGTAATGAATAAAACTATGGGAGAAGTGAAGTCCATTTGAGGAAGAAATAAACAATAACCTGAAGAAATAAAAAAAATTCAATTATTAAAAGGCAAGAATATACAAATATATACAGGCATGTAGTATCATTTGTATCAGCCAGAAAAATTATTTTACACTTAATTAAAAAATGTTGACCCTACTCCCCAATACTCCCTGTCTGTTTTATGATAGGAATTATAATTTTAGGCATCAAGTAAATTTTAGAACAATGTCTACACATTCACTTAACACATATTAAAAAAAATGAAGATATATTGAAAGACTTTTAAAGAATTGATTTTTTAAAATATATTTGGATCAACATCACAAAATTTATATAACTGGCCCAAACTGACAGATGATGAAATAAGCAATTAAATCTTCTACTTTCCTATTTGTAAGCATTATGTGTCCAGTGGTAAGGAGCCTATTAGGATAGCATTAAAAAAGAATGTACAAATGTTAATGATTTATCAAAAAAAATTTTTATTTCCTTTTCCTTCGGCACTTTTTTATTCTCATGTTCATAACTAAACCAAAACATAAAAAAATGCTGGCCTTATAATGAAGGGGCTCTTTCAAAGTAGATTATTTCAGGGCTGCTGGGTCAGGGGTACCAGGGGGGTACTTTGACTAATAAAATAAATTAATGCTTTGAAATCTGCCCTTTGATAAGCAATGGTGCCTTTTCCAAAATTTGTGAATTTCATGGCTTTTGGCTTAAAACACGAACCAAATACAATCGCTGGAAAGTTGTTACATGATACTCAGGTGACCTATAAGGCCCGTGGGCCTCTTGTCTTATATCCAAAATTGATTATAGAACGATGTATAATATTATAGAAAACAGAGATTAAAGTTGAAAGATAGTTTTAATTTTTCTTCAGTAATGTGTAACCGTGAAACACTTATGGCACCACACTGTATATATTTATGATGAAGAAATGTGCATCTAGCAAAATGGTTAATTTCATGCCCCCTGGGTAAGGTGTATCGAAGGGGGGGGGGGGGGGGGGGGTTACAAAGTCTGAAAATAAATAAATGCTTTGAAATCTGCTCTTTGGTATTAATCACCATTTATGATGAAATAAAACTTATGATAAAATTTCCAGAATTTTGAAATATATGGCCTCAGGGTCAGTGGTTCCTTTGGGGTGGGGTGCACAACTGGTTATAAAGTGGAGGTGCATTTTCTCTGTTACTCTGATCTACCTCTGGGTTTTAAGTAATCAAAGTAAGCAAGCAAAGTGCATAGTTATGATAAGCAATGGTGCCTCTTTCAAAATTGTGAATTTCATGGCCTCTGGTTTAACACACGAACCAAGTTCAATTGTTGGAAAGTTGTTACATGATACTCAGGTGACCGGTAAGGCCCGTGTGCCTCTTGTTTTTTATGTGGCTAAGGGTTTTTCCTCCATATTTGGCCTAAAGGGAGTTATTTCCCCAGGTTGAAAAGTAGGGGGTGGTATATAATATCAATATGGGTGTTTGTCCATACATGTTAGTTATTCTTGAGGGTAGCCATCCCTTATCCACAAGTTCTACCTTTTTTTCTCTTGATGAGTAAAAAAAATTGCCTGACAATGATAAAAAGCTTGAATATTTTTTTTTCCTTCATAAATAGAGGAAATTTATTGTGAAATGTTCAGAAGATGTGAAATATGGTTTTACTTTGGTATTATATGCGATCTAAGTGGTCATAAGAATGATGAAATTCAGTTACATTTCCCATTTGTGCTTGCCATGCACCCAATGGGGATTTGGATTTGCCCCAGACCCCAGCTGATTTTCCCAATTTTCAAAGAAAGGGTAGTTTCCCCCAAATCCTAGATAAATCCCCCCCAAAAAAACTCATTCCTATCCTCTGTTTTGTTACAGATACTGATAGGAAACAAAGATCCCAATGTAAGTTCAATGCTCTATTTTTCTTTTCTTTTTTAGCTCACCTGAGCTGAAAGCTCAAGTGAGCTTTTTATCACCCGGTGTGCCGTCCGTCCGTCCGTCCGTCCGTCTAGCTGTCCGTCCGTCCGTCCGTCTGTAAACTTTTCACATTTTCAACTTCTTCTCAAGAACCACTGGGCCAATTTTAACCAAACTTGGTACAAAGCATCCTTGGGTGAATGGGAATTTAAATTGTTAAAATCAAGGGCCAAAACCCCTTCCAAGGGGAGATAATCAAGAAAATACGAAAATAGGGTGGGGTCATTAAAAAATCTTCTTCTCAAGAACCACTGGGCCAGAAAAGCTGAAATTTATGTGGAAGCATTCTGGGGTAGTGTAGATGTTAAATTGTTAAAATCATGACCCCCGGGGGTAGGGCGGGGCCACAATAGGGAATCCAAGTTTTACATAGAAATATTTAGAAAAATTTTTAAAAATCTTCTTTTCAAGAACCACTGGACCAGAAAAGCTGAAACTTATGTGGAAGCATCCTTGGGTAGTGTAGATATTAAATTGTAAAAATCATGACCCCCGGGGGTAGGGCGGGGCCACAATAGGGAATCCAAGTTTTACATAGAAATATATAGAACAAATCTTTAAAAATCTTCTTCTCAAGAACCACTCGGCCAGGAGAGCTGAAACATATGTTGGAGCATCCTTTGGTAGTGTAAATATTAAATTGTAAAAATCATGACCCCCCGGGGTAGGCTGGGGCCACAATAGGGAATCCAAAGTTTACATAGAAATATATAGAACAAATCTTTAAAAATCTTCTTCTCAAGAACCACTGGGCCAGGAAAGCTGAAATTTATGTGGAAGCATCCTGGGGCACTGTAGATATTAAACTGTAAAAATTATGACCCCCGAGGGTAGGGCGGGGCCACAATAGGGAATCCAAGTTTTACATAGAAATATATAGAACAAATCTTTAAAAATCTTCTTTTCAAGAACCACTGGGCCAGGAAAGCTGAAACTTATGTGGAAGCATCCTTGGGTAGTGTAGATATTAAATTGTAAAAATCATGACCCCCGGGGGTAGGGCGGGGCCACAATAGGGAATCCAAGTTTTACAAAGAAATATATAGAACAAATCTTTGAAAATCTTCTTCTCAAGAACCACTTGGCCAGGAAAGCTGAAACTTATGTGGGAGCATCCTTGGGTAGTGTAGATATTAAATTGTTAAAATCATGACCCTCGGGCATAGGGCGGAGCCACAATGGGGAATCCAAGTTTTACATAAAAATATATATAGAACAAATCTTTTAAAAAGATCTGCATCACCCAAGTTACTAAGGTGAGCGATGTGGCCCATGGGCCTCTTGTTTTATTTACTTTTATGTTAAAGTAATAAATAAATTCTAAATGAAAACAATTAATATAACATATTGTTTCTAAATATTCCATACTTTGCTTTTTTTCAGTTTCCAAATGCCCCTTCTGTTCATCGGTGAGTAAGGATTTATTTCATATAAGCATTTATCTATATGTGTATAATGTGATTAAAGGTGCAGACACAGATTTGAAGTTAATATTTTCTCAAATTTTCTGTACAAGATCACAACTTATATATCGCAATAGCTGTCAGGACACCCTAAGCTTGATCAGTGATTACAAGATTTTTTTCTATTTACAATTTTATATAAAAAGAAATATGTACAAATATACAAGTTGAAAATAAAAGCATAATTTCAAAATGTCTATTCCCGTTAGTCTGGGACCTTGCTCCTATAGCCGTCCATGTCCATTTACTGTGTTTAACGGTCCATGACCTACGGGTACCACGCCCTTGCACTACATGCCACAACATCCCCTCTCATCCAATCCAATCCAGTCGACGTCCCGTGCCAATCCAAAGCGTCTTAAGCATCCACAATGCTGACAAAACCAGGACATCCCCACACACGGCCTCGGCCTAGCGTACTACGTCCTCGTGTAGTCGACCAGGTTGCCACCGCCGACAGCACCAAACTTTCGTGTAACACATCATAAATGTTTACACATATAGTTTTTCAAACATACAGTTTTAACTAATATATATCACACTGTTTCGTACTGTAGCAAAATAATGTACAATATAACTTTACACTCTGAGTAATAAACTTGTATCATTACTTTATGCTTAAACTCACGGCACGTGCACGTGGTAACATTTCCCGTATACAATTCAGAACACCTCTCGTGGATAAAAATAGAATATGCTCAATTGATATAAACACTGCATTACTTTTCAATATAATAAATGTAAAATAAATTGCACTTACCCTGATAAGAGATTCAGTTACCACGAATAAAACTATCTAACCCTCCATGGACGTGAAACTACTTTCACTGGTCAAGGAAAACATGCGCCACCCAAGACAAACCAGCAGACTTGTCGAAATTTTTAAAACGCTGTCAGACATTTGGTCTGACACAGTCGACTGTTTTGTCGGACCAGTCAAACTTTTGTCAGACCAGATACTTGTACGTCATTTTGATGCTGGTAAAATCATATGAATAAAAGCACCAAAATGTCCTTTATTTTTTCAATAGCCTTCAATCTAACAAGTTTCCTTTCTTGGGATAGAGAGTCTTTAACATAGACATAAATGACAAGTTTTATGACTTTGCTATAACAAATTTACTTAGCTAGCGTCAACATGCTGCGTACGCGGCCATTTTTTTCTGTGTTTGTGACCTTGAACTACGCATCCCGATCCCGACCTTTATTAAATTTGCATTACGCTCATTTTTTTCAACGGTCATCTGGATTGACGTTTTCTTAAATGTTATCGGTCCAGACAAATTTTTACCGGCCTTGCCGACAGGACCGACGGATTTCGACAAGTCTGAACCAGACATCACCTTATATAGAGACTGGCCAAATAATAAATCACCTGAGCGTCATTTATAATGGGGCTCCTTGCAGGATAAACACTATAATACAAACAAGGGTCACCACAGGACAATACTAATAAAATAGAAATAAATATACTTATGTCAAAATCAACATTGATTGTGACAATAGCATTTCACATGAAAATATATGCAAAAACTTATTTCATCTAAAAGTTAATTGAAACTTCAAATTTTTGGACAGGTTTGATTGACACATCCTTGCACTTTCACAAATTTTAAATTTTATTATTAAGGCTCAAGAAAACTGGCAATCTTGTTGTGAATTAATGAAAAATATTAAAACTATAATCCAGAAAATTCAGAGTAGAAATGTTCGAAAGCAAAACATACACACAGTATATTGTCAGTCCGTGCAGTTGTGGTGAGCAGACTTTAACAATTGAACACACCCCACCGGTGAATCGTAAACCTTAACAGTAACAGTTTACCGTTTACAAAAATTGTGTACGTTTCACAGATGTGTTCAATTTGCTAAACTAAGTACTCAACACTAAGCACGGAATGACGATGCTTGTGAAGGGGTTTTGCTTTCAATCATTTTTATTCTGAAGATAATTATTTTTCTTGATTAATGTTTTACTATTTTTCATAAATACACAACCAGATTGCCACTTTTCTGAAGTATTAAAGAATAAAATTAAAATTTTTGAAAGTGCAAGGATGTTTCAATCAAACCCATCCAAAAATTTAAAGTTTGAATATATGTATTTTGGATAAAATAAGATTTTGAATATATTTTCATGTGAAATGCTATTGCAATACATAAGATGTGATATTTTACAGAAAATATTAACTTCAAATCTGTGTCTATGCACCTTTAACCCTTTCGATGCCAAATAACGTTACGACTATAACGTCAAGGATGCCGTACTATGACGTCAACCAAGACGTAAAATAGTTGCGTCAGGAAAAAAAGCGTCAGATTGATAATGAAAAAGCACCTGTTTAACCAAGGTAAAAGGATGTAAGGAAATCCTTATAAAAGAATCATATTTATTCCATAATATTAATACAAACAAGGGTCACCACAGGACAATACAGTAAAGTAAGCAAACATTAATCCTATAGCTAGCAATTGCAAGGTAAGACTTTAGATAGAACAAAAGAGACTCCTACTCTTTTTTAAAATAATAATTATACTAAATGTTATTAATTTATAACTGCCGTATACGAGAAAACGGACCCTTATATAACCTGGTACTTTTTTAATGCAAATATGCATAACTTAATTTCTTTTAAATATATAATTTATATCATTTTTCTAGTATTTGATGAGAATTTTAATAATTAAGACGCTTCAAAACAAAGTTGGCATGACTCAATGATAATGTTACGGGTCTCGAACTCAGTACGTTTCTAAACATTACCAACATTTTTAGGTACATCTTTATTGTGTTGACACAATGCCTCTCCCCAAATACCATGAAAAAAGAGACAAGTCCAGTCCAAAAAAAAGGGCACTTTGGGCCATCCCCTCGCAAAAAAAAATCGATTCCGATATAATAGAATAAATATTACTTTAATGTAAAAGAAGGACCCATGGTGTATAAAATTGTTCTTCAGGGTAAATCATAAATAAAATCTTTTCTACTACCATGCGGAGAAACATAAAACACCAGGCTCATTTACATAATGAAGTACTGTTTTGAGAAAGTTTATTCCATATTTCAAAATTAAAAAATCATTAATTATATCTATATTTATTGGGTTTTTTTCCCTTCAAGTAAATCAGACTGTATCAAACGCAGTAATGATATTAATGCTGCTGAACTGAGGAATAAAAGACATTTATGAGGATTGCCGATTACCGCTAGCGTACTCCTAAACCTACGTCATAATTTAACGTCAATGTAAAGAAATATGACGTCATATTTAGACCAGTACCAATTTATACTGAAAGGAAAAAGAAACGCATATTTTACTTTTAAATTTAATCAAAACTATTATTTCGAAAATGTTTTCCAGTATTGTTATCAAACATTTTAATTCATCTTTAATCTACAAGTTACCAAAATCTTGTGTGACTTTGACTGATAATTCCTGAGTTATTGAAATTGATATGTCGATACCCCCCAAAATTAAAATAAAAATTCTCATCATCTCCCTTGCACATTGGTAACAGCCTTGATTTTCCTGTGCATTGAGTTCACCAGAGCATTTATCTTTCTCATTTGATTATTATTCAACTCTTCCGACAATAGTCTTAATGGTTGATAGAAGCTGTATTATTCCAAAGCCAACAAATCCCCCCGCCAAATGAGTGCCACGAATTTTCATTTTAGGATAGAATTTACAGAATCCAGCTGGTTTGGTACACGTGAATGTTTGTGAGAAAGTCTCGACAAACACTGGCTACATTTTCCCAGTGTGAACATGCTAAAAACATTACACACACGACGCGTACGTGCGCGTGAGAGTAAAATTGACCTAAAAGTTGCCAAGCTCGCGGACCAAATTAGAGCAGAGAATTTCTGTCAATTTTAGGGTGAAAATATTGGTATGATAGTTTGCTGTATAAATATCGGTTTCAGTGATAATACCTTGACAACAACCGAGGTGACATGATGAAAAGCCCTGTCTTGATGTGACGTTGTTTCGCGTCAACGTCACCGCCATGGTTGGTTGGAAACCTTTTAATTTACTCTCTGACAACTGAAAAACCCTTTTTTGTTGAAAAGTTTAAAACAAACTGCACAGCAACATCTTGTTGCCTTTTTATTCACTTACGCAATTCAATTACTGGAACCAGTGTAACTTCCGTCAGCCATACCATGATTGCACGAAATTTATACTGATTGCAAATGCGGAAAACGATGTCTATAACTCCAACGCATCGATTAGCACCACAAAATGTGATCATAAAATTGTCATCATCAACATGCACGTGTTTTTGGCTTTTTATCATTTCCCCTACGTGACACCATACATTTCATGGTTGAGTAATTTTGACCAGCAATTTTAGTGCACAGTAATCAAAATACATATTTGACCAATTTTCATAATTTTCGGCCATATAGTTAAATATATATCGCTATTATGCTATTATGCGTTTCTTTTTCCTTTCAGTATAAAAATAAAGGCCTATACTTGTGTCAAAATTTAGATATTACTGTATTTAATTTAAACTGACATAAATGATAAATAAATGAAAAGTTAAACATGCATTACAAAGCGACATTTTTGTCGGTTTGGCGTTGACACAGTAAACGACATTTTTGTCGCTTTGGCGTCGAAAGGGTTAAAGCATGTCTTAATTTAGTTTTGTGAATAAAGTTAATTTGCCTTGTAGGCATATTCTGTGAAGAACATAGTTATTATTCATGTTGGAATGGTCTTTATGTTTTTAGCTTGTTCTGTCAATTTGAAAATAATTTGATGAACTACAGAATAATCAATCAAACATCAAAACCAAGATTTTTTCCTAACTCACAATTACTGATGAAAACAAGTGATTTTACTAGGGATGGCAATATTTAATCGGTTAACCGGTTACTCGGTTGGCTCATTCTTAATCGGTTAGAAAATCTGTAATTGGTTAGTTTCTCAGGCACCGCTGCATCAGTTCAAAAACGGTCGCATTTATCAATTTTATTGACATGTTGACATATCCAAGTTGAAAAAGAAAATCGAGTTATTCCCCTTTTCATAAATGCTAAGAGAAATGTTTTATTAGAAAAACAATACATTATTTCTAAATTTTCAGTATTTTATTAATTAACTTTAAAATAAATGTTTGGAGTAACATTATTTAAAGTTGAATACATATTACAACCAATTTCAGAGAACAAAAATTAAGAATTGGTAGATATTATCATTTTATTGAACAAATGGCTTAGAAAAGGTGTTAAACCTGCTTCAAAAAAAAAAAAAAAAAAGAGCCTGCCTCCCGCATTGAATTCTGATTTTTTTGGCCTGAGAAACTATTGATTAATTTTTTTTGGCCTAATTGGTCAATTTTTGGGATATTACATGTATTTGTTGTTTAAACACCATGCCATTACCAAGTCTGTCCTGCATTTCTTTAATTATTTTAATTAAGTAATTGATTAGCAGCGTGAACTGATTATAATGTGTATCTTCCCCCCGCTGTTCATTATAATTACAATTTACCTATCCAATCATTATACCCCACACAACAAATTGCGTGAGGTATAATGTTTTTGACCCGTCCGTCAGTCAGTCTGTCAGTCCTGTTTTTTGTCAGTGCAACTCCTCATAAAATGCTGCACAGAATTTCGTGAAACTTTGCAGATATTTAGGACACAATGTTTAGATGTGCATATTACCAAGAAATTCCAAAGTCCTTTATTTTTTCTGGTAATTTCTACACTTTTCGACTTAGATTTTTGGCTATATCTTGAATATAGAGATGAACAGTTGTCAGCACAACTCCTCATAAACTGCTGCACACAATTTTGTCAAACTCTGCAGATACTTAGGACACAAGGTGTAAATGTGCATATTACCAGGAAATACCCATTCCTTTATTTTTTCCAGGGATTTCAGCACTTCAAGTTTTGGGGGAGCATGGGGTATGTGAGCTTGCTCACTTTTTCTTTCATTTTATAAAAAAAAAAAACATTGTAAATTAAGCCAGAGTTTAGACTTCATATTGAATATTGTGAAAACGCAGAATGAGTTGGACATTTCTTCTGATTTTTAAAAAAAATGTATCTGAGACTTGCATGTCTTATGGGTTCTTGTATAATATAAACAGTGTTCTGATAAATATGAACATATTATTTCTACTTGTAACATCTTCTTAGCCTTGTTTATTTTAGGAGAGCTTACAATGATGAAAAATGCACAAAAGTTTTGATTTGATTAACCAATTAATCGGTCGGAAGGTCATGCGGATAACCAATTGGCAATCCTGTATTCGATTGCCATCCCTAGATTTTACAATATATTTATGTATATGAAATGAATTAATCTTTAAGTTTTATTAACTGCTTTATTGTAGCAATTTTAAAGTACATGAACGTTAAAGCATGAGCAGTTATGATTTAATTATTTAAAAAATAAAAGTACTTGTATGTTTCAGACTGTTAACAAATGCTTGTAATTTAAATTATACATATCAAAAATAAAAGTACTTGTGTGTTTCAGATCATTAGTAAATGTTTATAATTTAAATTATACCTATCAAAAATAAAAGTACTTTTATGTTTCAGAGCCAACAGTTATAACCTGTATACCAAGCGCCGTTTGGAGGAAACGCCCAGGCCAACATTCAAGGAGATCGCAGAAGGGTGGAAGGTGCTATCAGAGAGGGAGAAACAGGCGTTTGCTCTGGAGGCAGAGAAGGTAAGATCAGGGCTGTCGTAAAACAGAGAAGGTAAGATCAGGGCTGTCGTAAAACAGAGAAGGTAAAATCAGGGCTGTCGTAAAACAGAGAAGGTAAGATCAGGGCTGTCGTAAAACAGAGAAGGTAAAATCAGGGCTGTCGTAAACAGAGAAGGTAAAATCAGGGTGTAGTAAAACAGAGAAGGTAAGATCAGGGCTGTCGTAATACAGAGAAGGTAAAACAGAGAAGGTAAAATCAGGGTGTAGTAAAACAGAGAAGGTAAAATCAGGGCTGTCGTAAAACAGAGAAGGTAAGATCAGGGCTGTCGTAAAACAGAGAAGGTAAAATCAGGGCTGTCGTAAAACAGAGAAGGTAAGATCAGGGCTGTCGTAAAACAGAGAAGGTAAAATCAGGGCTGTCGTAATACAGAGAAGGTAAAACAGAGAAGGTAAAATCAGGGTGTAGTAAAACAGAGAAGGTAAGATCAGGGCTGTCGTAAAACAGAGAAGGTAAGATCAGGGCTGTCGTAATACAGAGAAGGTAAGATCAGGGCTGTCGTAAAACAGAGAAGGTAAAATCAGGGCTGTCGTAAAACAGAGAAGGTAAAATCAGGGCTATCGTAAAACAGAGAAGGTAAAATCAGGGCTGTCGTAATACAGAGAAGGTAAAATCAGGGTGTAGTAATACAGAGAAGGTAAAATCAGGGCTGTCATAATACAGAGAAGGTAAAATCAGGGTGTAGTAAAACAGAGAAGGTAAGATCAGGGCTGTCGTAAAACAGAGAAGGTAAAATCAGGGCTGTAGTAAAACAGAGAAGGTAAAATCAGGGCTGTCATAATACAGAGAAGGTAAAATCAGGGTGTAGTAAAACAGAGAAGGTAAAATCAGGGCTGTCGTAATACAGAGAAGGTAAGATCAGGGCTGTAGTAAAACAGAGAAGGTAAGATCAGGGCTGTCGTAATACAGAGAAGGTAAAACAGAGAAGGTAAAATCAGGGCTGTCGTAATACAGAGAAGGTAAGATCAGGGCTGTAGTAAAACAGAGAAGGTAAGATCAGGGCTGTCGTAATACAGAGAAGGTAAAACAGAGAAGGTAAAATCAGGGCTGTCGTAATACAGAGAAGGTAAAATCAGGGCTGTCGTAAAACAGAGAAGGTAAAATCAGGGCTGTCGTAAAACAGAGAAGGTAAAATCAGGGCTGTCGTAAAACAGAGAAGGTAAAATCAGGGCTGTCGTAAAACAGAGAAGGTAAAATCAGGGCTGTCATAAAACAGAGAAGGTAAAATCAGGGCTGTCGTAAAACAGAGAAGGTAAAATCAGGGCTGTAGTAAAACAGAGATGGTAAAATCAGGGCTGTAGTAAAACAGAGAAGGTAAGATCAGGGCTGTCGTAATACAGAGAAGGTAAAACAGAGAAGGTAAAATCAGGGCTGTCGTAATACAGAGAAGGTAAAATCAGGGCTGTCGTAAAACAGAGAAGGTAAAATCAGGGCTGTCGTAAAACAGAGAAGGTAAAATCAGGGCTGTCGTAAAACAGAGAAGGTAAAATCAGGGCTGTCGTAAAACAGAGAAGGTAAAATCAGGGCTGTCATAAAACAGAGAAGGTAAAATCAGGGCTGTAGTAAAACAGAGATGGTAAAATCAGGGCTGTCATAAAACAGAGAAGGTAAAATCAGGGCTGTAGTAAAACAGAGATGGTAAAATCAGGGCTGTCATAAAACAGAGAAGGTAAAATCAGGGCTGTCGTAAAACAGAGAAGGTAAAATCAGGGCTGTCATAAAACAGAGAAGGTAAAATCAGGGCTGTCATAAAACAGAGAAGGTAAAATCAGGGCTGTCGTAAAACAGAGAAGGTAAAATCAGGGCTGTCATAAAACAGAGAAGGTAAAATCAGGGCTGTCGTAAAACAGAGAAGGTAAAATCAGGGCTGTCGTAAAACAGAGAAGGTAAAATCAGGGCTGTCGTAAAACAGAGAAGGTAAAATCAGGGCTGTCGTAAAACAGAGAAGGTAAAATCAGGGCTGTCGTAAAACAGAGAAGGTAAAAGCAGGGCTGTCGTAATACAGAGAAGGTAAAAGCAGGGCTGTCGTAATACAGAGAAGGTAAAACAGAGAAGGTAAAATCAGGGCTGTCGTAACACAGAGAAGGTAAAATCAGGGCTGTCGTAAAACAGAGAAGGTAAAATCAGGGCTGTCGTAAAACAGAGAAGGTAAAACCAGGGCTGTCGTAATACAGAGAAGGTAAAACAGAGAAGGTAAAATCAGGGCTGTCGTAACACAGAGAAGGTAAAATCAGGGCTGTCGTAAAACAGAGAAGGTAAAATCAGGGCTATCGTAAAACAGAGAAGGTAAAATCAGGGCTGTCATAAAACAGAGAAGGTAAAGACAGGGCTGTCGTAAAACAGAGAAGGTAAAATCTGGGCTGTCATAAAACAGAGAAGGTAAAGTCAGGGCTGTCGTAAAACAGAGAAGGTAAAATCAGGGCTGTCATAAAACAGAGAAGGTAAAATCTGGGCTGTTGTAAAACAGAGAAGGTAAAATCAGGGCTGTCGTAAAACAGAGAAGGTAAAATCAGGACTGTCTTAAAACAGAGAAGGTAAGATCAGGGCTGTCGTAAAACAGAGAAGGTAAAATCAGGGCTGTTGTAATATAGAGAAGGTAAAATCAGAGAAGATAAAATTAGGGCTGTCGTTAAACACAGAAGGTAAAATCAGGGCTGTCATAAAACAGAGAAGGTAAAATCAAGGCTGTCGTAAAACAGAGAAGGTAAAATCAGGGCTGTCATTAAACAGAGAAGGTAAAGTCAGGGCTGTCGTAAAACAGAGAAGGTAAAATCAGGGCTGTCATAAAACAGAGAAGGTAAAGTCAGGGCTGTCGTAAAACAGAGAAGGTAAAATCAGGGCTGTCATAAAACAGAGAAGGTAAAATCTGGGCTGTTGTAAAACAGAGAAGGTAAAATCAGGGCTGTCGTAAAACAGAGAAGGTAAAATCAGGGCTGTCGTAAAACAGAGAAGGTAAAATCAGGGCTGTCTTAAAACAGAGAAGGTAAAATCAGAGAAGATAAAATTAGGGCTGTCGTAAAACAGAGAAGGTAAAATCAGGGCTGTCGTAATACAGAGAAGGTAAAATCAGAGCTGTCGTAAAACAGAGAAGGTAAAATCAGGGCTGTCGTAAAACAGAGAAGGTAAAATCAGGGCTATCGTAAAACAGAGAAGGTAAAATCAGAGAAGATAAAATTAGGGCTGTCGTAAAACAGAGAAGGTAAAATCAGGGCTGTCGTAATACAGAGAAGGTAAAATCAGGGCTGTCGTAAAACAGAGAAGGTAAAATCAGGGCTGTTGTAAAACAGAGAAGGTAAAATCAGAGAAGATAAAATTAGGGCTGTCGTAAAACAGAGAAGGTAAAATCAGGGCTGTCGTAATACAGAGAAGGTAAAATCAGAGAAGATAAAATTAGGGCTGTCGTAAAACAGAGAAGGTAAAATCAGGGCTGTCGTAATACAGAGAAGGTAAAATCAGAGCTGTCGTAAAACAGAGAAGGTAAAATCAGGGCTGTCGTAAAACAGAGAAGGTAAAATCAGGGCTATCGTAAAACAGAGAAGGTAAAATCAGAGAAGATAAAATTAGGGCTGTCGTAAAACAGAGAAGGTAAAATCAGGGCTGTCGTAATACAGAGAAGGTAAAATCAGGGCTGTTAAACAGAGAAGGTAAAATCAGGGCTGTTGTAAAACAGAGAAGGTAAAATCAGAGAAGATAAAATTAGGGCTGTCGTAAAACAGAGAAGGTAAAATCAGGGCTGTCATAATACAGAGAAGGTAAAATCAGAGCTGTCGTAAAACAGAGAAGGTAAAATCAGGGCTGTCGTAAAACAGAGAAGGTAAAATCAGGGCTGTCGTAAAACAGAGAAGGTAAAATCGGGGCTGCCGTAAAACAGAGAAGGTAAATCAGAGAAGATAAAATTATGGCTGTCGTAAAACAGAGAAGGTAAAAATTAGGGCTGTCGTAAAACAGAGAAGGTAAAATCAGGGCTGTAGTAAAACAGAGAAAGTAAAATCAGGGCTGTCTTAAAACATACACAGCTTATATTGTGGTGAACTAACCAGTCAATATCTACATCCTTTGAAAATACATTGTATTAATTGTACATCAAGTGAAGCATTTATCATCTTTGTGAAACTTAATATTCTACAGAGGTAGAAAATATCCAAATAACAAACATTTCTATTTATTTATTTATAGAATGTTTTGATATTTGTCTACACTGGTTTCATTTATTTCAGCTGAACAAGGAGGCAGAGAGAAACTTGGAGAGGTTCCTGAAAACTCTGCCTCCAGAGAAAAAACAACAGTTTTTATCTGCCAAGAGTGTTAAATCAGCTAAAAAAGCCATCTCTGAGGTAATATTACCAGCAGCAGTAAAATGTAGGAGGGATGTGGCAGCAACAGTTGCATACACAAGTCATTTGTCAATTTTATAGCATTTTTATATCACTTCAACAAAGTTTGGGAAGCTTATGTGATACCTTGGCGTTGGCGTCGGCATCCCAGGTTAAGGTTTTTGGAGCATTTTTATTTTTATGTACTTTTGTGCCCTATTTTTTATCAGACATGTATGGAAGATGCTTCTAGTGTGTTTTATGGTACCAGACATGGTTCAGATGCTGCAAATTTCAGCAAAGGAATGACCAAGTTAATGTTTCTCTAGCAGATTAACATTTTTGGTGCAGTTTTTGTGTAGGTCTCACTTCCAAGTAACTATGAGCCCTATGATGACCAAAGTTGCATGCCTTGGGTGATACACTTCCAGGCCTGCTTCAGATGCTGGATCTGATCTACATTTTCCAGACAAACAAGCAGGTTAATGTTTTTTGGTGCATGTCTCACTTGCATGGGTGTTACATCTAAGGATGCATACTACGAGGCTTGCTTCAGATGCTGGATCTAATATAAATTTTTCAGATGAGTGAACAGGTTAAAGATTTTTCTACAGGTTTCATTTCCCAAGTAGATATAAACAGTATGTTGACAAAACTTGCATGGATGATACATCTAAGGATGCATATATACTACCAGGCTTGCTTCAGATGCTGGATCTGACTTCAATTTTACAGATGAGTGAACAGGTCAAAGTTTTATGATCCTAAAGCTAATGATCCTGACTGACTTTGTTGAGGGTTTTTTTCTGTTTTCTATCTTGATAAAAACAAAACAATACCATAAATATCTTCATTGTAATTGAGAAGAGCTTTTTTATATATATATTTTCAGTTTGATGATGCTCCAAAGATACACCAGTAAGTGTACACATCTCTTGATTTAAATCAGGTTTTCTTGTTACATCACTGTGAATTTAAAATTGATCATCTCTGACATCTGATAGAAATTAATCAGGGTAAAAACCGGTGAGTAAATTTATATCTTCTGTGTTTCAGAGCAAATGGCTATAATATTTTCACCAAGGCAAACAGAGACGAAGACCCGAAAATAAGTTTTAAAGAAATTGCGGAAAAGTGGAAACAGCTTTCAGAGGGAGAACGGAAAACATATACAGAGGAAGCTAAGAAGGTAATCAAGCTAGCTCATAAAATCAAAGCGAGAATGACAGAAATAAACAGAGGAAGCTAAGAAGGTAATCAAGCTAGCTCATAAAATCAAAGCGAGAATGGCAGAAATAAACAGAGGAAGCTAAGAAGGTAATCAAGCTAGCTCATAAAATCAAAGCGAGAATGGCAGAAATAAACAGAGGAAGCTAAGAAGGTAATCAAGCTAGCTCATAAAATCAGAGTCAGAACGGCAGAAGTAAACAGAGGAGCTAAGAAAGTAAACAAGCTAGCTCGTTCAACCTTTTGTAACATTCAGGTATTGCTATTGCATGTGATGAGGATTCATGAGCACTATACGTTACAGACCAATAATATGACTTCATCAAGTTTGGTTTATGAATTGGGATTAAGATCTCGTTGTATTGTTTGTTTTTTTTTAGGTCAATGAGCAGTCCAGACTGGAATTCGAAACATACAGACAAAATCTGACACCAGAGAAGCAGGCCAGATTCAACAAAGAGTTTGAGGTAAGACTGTAGGATAAAAGACTGATAGGGACACAAGCTGTAACTGATAGAAACACAAGCTGTTACTGATAGAGACACAAGCTGTTATTGATAAAGACACAAGCTGTTACTGATAAAGACAAGCTGTTACTGATAGGGACACTATCTGTTACTGATAAAGACACAAGCTGTTACTGATAGGGACACAAGCTGTTACTGATAGGGACACAAGCTATTACTGATAGAGACACAAGCTGTTACTGATAGGGGCACAAGCTGTTACTGATAGAGACACAAGCTGTTACTGACAGAGACACAAGCTGTTACTGATAGGGACACAAGCTGTTACTGATAGGGACACAATCTGTTACTGATAGGTACACAAGCTGTTACTGATAGGGACACAGCTGTTACTGATAGGGACACAAGCTGTTACTGATAGGGACACAAGCTGTTACTGATAGGGACACAAGCTGTTTCTGATAGGGACACAAGCTGTTACTGATAGGGGCACAATCTGTTACTGATAGGGACACAAGCTGTTACTGATAGGGACACAAGCTGTTACTGATAGAGACACAAGCTGTTACTGATAGGACACAATCTGTTACTGATAGGGACACAAGCTATTACTGATAGAGACACAAGCTGTTACTGACAGAGACACAAGCTGTTACTGATAGGGACACAAGCTGTTACTGATAGGGACACAATCTGTTACTGACAGAGACACAAGCTGTTACTGATAGGGACACAATCTGTTACTGATAGGGACACAATCTGTTACTGATAGGGACACAAGCTGTTACTGATAGGGACACAAGCTGTTACTGATAGGGACACAAGCTATTACTGATAGAGACACAAGCTGTTACTGATAGGGGCACAAGCTATTACTGATAGAGACACAAGCTGTTACTGACAGAGACACAAGCTGTTACTGATAGGGACACAAGCTGTTACTGATAGGGACACAAGCTGTTTCTGATAGGGACACAAGCTGTAACTGATAGGGACACAAGCTGTTACTGATAGGGACACAATCTGTTACTGATAGGGACACAAGCTGTTACTGATAGGGACACAAGCTGTTACTGATAGGGACACAGACTCTTAAAAATAATCATCTAAACAGCACACAAAATGTTGTATCCATTGGGATGCCAATTAGCATGGCAATCCTAGGGTGAGTTGTATTCAGGGGATAGAGGTTGCAATGTCTATACCCTTATACATTCAGTTAGCTGCAGATCTGTAGCTCTCCGAAAAAAATAAATTGATAGACCGGAGAGCTACAGTGCCACCCACTGAAAAAACTGTATATTTATTGGTCACAAAAAAGTGCGCTCGGTTCTTAATTAATTCTTCCAAATTCTTACCTCAATTGCAAATAAGGAAAGATTTCAAAAAATTCCTTTATCTTCTATCAAGTACTCCCGTAGTTGACATCCGAACGAAGCATATTGGACCGAATTATCTTTGAAACCAAAATGGCAGTACAAATAAGCGAAATGTTCGATGATTACAATGTCAGGGTCAGGAGGACTATTAACAACAATTATGAGGAATGTTTGGTTGTGGAAAAAGTGAAAGAATATGTTAGGAACACACGGTTAGCAATATTTTGAGATTACAATTTGAAAAACATGGAAATATAAATCAAGAACCGAGCACACTTTTTTGTGCGCAATAAATATACAGTTTTTTCAATAGGTGGCACTGTAGCTCTCCGGTCTATCAATACATTTTTTTCGGAGAGCTACAGACCTGCAGCTAACATTCAGTGTGATAGATTAAAAAATAGAAAACATTCAGATGAATTATAAGTTGTTTGAACTTTGATCATATTCATCTTAACCTACTGTGAAATCACAAAGGTCTAAATTTCGTTGTTTTTGAGGTATGATGAGACCCACGAATTCATGTCCATCACGGAATGTAAAATCTTACAATGTAATCATTAATATTTTGATCCATGAAACCAAATCCCCACAAACCAAGATATTTTCTCAAAATCACAAAAATTTGACCCCACGAATATATGTGATTTTAGAGTATATATATCAAGAGGGTAAGTGTATTACACACCCTGATTCACCATATTCAGCAATCTAATGTATTCTATACCTGTTTATCATAAACAGAAAAACATCAAAAGAGTCAGTGAAAGTCAGAAGCCTAAGATCCCTAAGCCCAAGCCACCCCCCAAACTTAAAGAGAGGGAATTAAAGAAGGCTGAGATTCAGTACATGAAGGAGGAAAAGGCCGAGGCAGTGAGAGAGAACCCAGACACTGATGAGGACGATATCATGTTAAGATTGTCTGAGGCATTCTGCTCCCTACCGTATAAAGAACAGGTGAGCGTGAGGTGTTCTGTAGCTTATAATACTAAGAACAGGTGAGTGTGAGGCGTTCTGTAGCTTATAATACAAAGAACAGGTGAGTCTGAGGTGTTCTGTAGCTTATAATACAAAGAACAGGTGAGTGTGAGGTGTTCTGTAGCTTATAATACAAAGAACAGGTGAGTCTGAGGCCTTCTACTCCCTACCGTACAAAGAACATGTGAGTGTGTGAGGCGTTCTGTAGCTTATAATACAAAGAACAGGTGAGCGTGAGATGTTCTGTAGCTTATAATACAAAGAACAGGTGAGCGTGAGGTGTTCTGTAGCTTATAATACAAAGAACAGGTGAGCGTGACGTGTTCTGTAGCTTATAATACAAAGAACAGGTGAGTGTGAGGTGTTCTGTAGCTTATAATACAAAGAACAGGTGAGTCTGAGGTGTTCTGTAGCTTATACAGTAGAGATCCGCTATTAGGGTGACGGTTTTATATGATAGAACGCTTATTACGTTGTAAATTCAAAGCACAAATCCATTTCTTAACAAATCTATACAAAAAAGAACTGTTTATTACGTTGTCCAAAATCGCCAGGTCTCAGTAATACGATGTAAAAATTCTGTCAAAAATTTTTTCACTCCGTGTTTATTCAGTGTTGATTGCTGGTAGACACTTAGGGAGACGCTAAATAAACATTGGAACACCTGTTCTCTGAGAGAGTGTTAACTAACAGGGCAGTTAGGTGATTAGTGACGCTTGATTGCACCCACCTGGACTGTTCCAGCGAGCCCAGCAGATTTGGAGACGTGCCAAAGCCATTGTTAAACAATTAAAGTTTACTCATAAACCTAGCTTCTTCTTTATCTATCGCTGTATTTTTTAAAAAATTCTTTTATTCTTTATTTCATACTTAGTTTAATAAATTAATTTAATAAATAAAAGGTTATATTTATTATGCATGTATGCTGTACACAGGTACACATAATGTATAATTTCGTTTGCAAATAAACTGCGTAAATAAAAAGCTTGGGTATCAAACATAATTTGGACAAATTTTGAACTCCACTACAAACGTTTTAACAGCTTGGGTAGTGGCTTGGACTTCCTCTCAGTTATCAGCAGAAATACAAATCGATAATTGCTGAACTGCTAATTGACCTCTGTTCAGTAATTAAAAAAAAGTTATTTTGACAGATTGCTTGTCTGTTTACTTTGACCTTTTTATTTGAATTAAAAAAAATGTTGTTGTTTGTTTAGAAATGACTTTTAATTAAATACAAAGAGAATAAAATAATCAGAATTTTGGTAGTTGTTTATATAGAAATGAATATGACTACGAAGACATTGAAATTTTCACGAACGCATTATCTGGACAGAAACGAAAGTGAAAGTACATGTTACAGAAAATGGCAGCAACTAAAAGAAGATTGTCGAAGTTTCTATTAAAAAATATGCTCTATGCTTTTACTATGATGGAAAAAGAAGAAATAGCATCATGAAAATAAGTTTTAAAGATAAGTAATCAATGAATTAAGTGTATATGGCAGATTGGAGAAGAATTTGAGCATGAAAAGGAGATAGAAGGAGAGAAATATACCCCCTAATACAAGAACACGTTTTCCAAACGATGTTTAACAGGATTTTATTGGGAACTTTTATTACGTTGCCCTCGGTATTACGATATTTTACCGTGACAAAGTGAACATCGTAATAACGAGTCTCTACTGTAATACAAAGAACAGGTGAGTGTGAGGTGTTCTGTAGCTTATAATACAAAGAACAGGTGAGTGTGAGGCGTTCTGTAGCTTATAATACAAAGAACAGGTGAGCGTGAGGTGTTCTGTAGCTTATAATACAAAGAACAGGTGAGCGTGAGGTGTTCTGTAGCTTATAATACAAAGAACAGGTGAGTGTGAGGCGTTCTGTAGCTTATAATACAAAGAACAGGTGAGTGTGAGGCGTTCTGTAGCTTATAATACAAAGAACAGGTGAGCGTGAGGTATTCTGTAGCTTATAATACAAAGAACAGGTGAGCGTGAGGTATTCTGTAGCTTATAATACAAAGAACAGGTGAGCGTGAGGTCTTCTGTAGCTTATAATACAAAGAACAGGTGAGTCTGAGGTGTTCTGTAGCTTATAATACAAAGAACAGGTGAGCGTGAGGTCTTCTGTAGCTTATAATACAAAGAACAGGTGAGTGTGAGGTGTTCTGTAGCTTATAATACAAAGAACAGGTGAGTGTGAGGCGTTCCGCTCCCTTCCATACAAAGAACAGATGAGTGTGAGGTGTTCTGTAGCTTATAATACAAAGAACAGGTGAGTGTGAGGCGTTCCGCTCCCTTCCATACAAAGAACAGATGAGTGTGAGGTATTCTGTAGCTTATAATACAAAGAACAGGTGAGCGTGAGGTATTCTGTAGCTTATAATACAAAGAACAGGTGAGCGTGAGGTCTTCTGTAGCTTATAATACAAAGAACAGGTGAGTCTGAGGTGTTCTGTAGCTTATAATACAAAGAACAGGTGAGCGTGAGGTCTTCTGTAGCTTATAATACAAAGAACAGGTGAGTGTGAGGTGTTCTGTAGCTTATAATACAAAGAACAGGTGAGTCTGAGGTGTTCTGTAGCTTATAATACAAAGAACAGGTGAGTGTGAGGCGTTCTGTAGCTTATAATACAAAGAACAGGTGAGCGTGAGATGTTCTGTAGCTTATAATACAAAGAACAGGTGAGCGTGAGGTCTTCTGTAGCTTATAATACAAAGAACAGGTGAGCGTGAGGCGTTCTGTAGCTTATAATACAAAGAACAGGTGAGCGTGAGATGTTCTGTAGCTTATAATACAAAGAACAGGTGAGCGTGAGGTGTTCTGTAGCTTATAATACAAAGAACAGGTGAGTGTGAGGTGTTCCGCTCCCTACCATACAAAGAGCAGGTGAGTGTGTGAGGCGTTCTGTAGCTTATATTACAAAGAACAGGTGAGTGTGAGGCATTCTGTAGCTTTTATTACAAAGAACATTTACAGCTAAAGTAGTCTCAAAAAGTTTCAAAATAAGGTGTTAGGTCCACTCATTCTTTCTCCTGATATTATCTCGCCAGACTGTCTGTGTTCAGTTTAAATTCTGATCAGATTCAGCCCCTGTATCCCCGTGCCATAAGAATATGAAAAGACATGACTACCACTGTCTCAAATTGCTCATTGTTCATTGCAGGCAGAGTATCTCAGAAAATATGAGGCGGAAGCCAATGAGCAGAAGAAAATTACTGAGTTTTAGTAAGTATACATGTTAGTTATTATTTAATGTAAGTAATCTAAGCTTCTTAGATGTGTCCTGTGTAAAGCTCTAACAACCAGTTGATAAATCTATAATGTAATATTAGTTATAATAAATGCCTACACTACAGAAAATGTTTATACATCTAATATTTATATGCTAAGGAATGGAAAAAACATGGAAATGTTGAATAAGGTTAAGATGCTTTTCTTGCATTCTAAAAGGTTTATGATAATAGGACAATATTTTAAGGGTGTATCATGTAGGCCCTTTATTATCTGATTTTATGCCGTATATTTTACTTTTATTGACTTTTTCCTTTCATTTTTTGGCAGCAAGAGTAAGCACATTGACTCTCCAAACCCACCCAAGGTATGGATTTTAAAAAAATGGAAAAATATATTTACTCTTTTATTAGGTCACCTGAGTAAACTCAGGTGACCTATTGCTATCTGTTTTCGTCCGTTAACATTTGAACATCTTCAGCTTCTTCTCTGCAACCACCGAACCAATTTCAACCAAATTTGGCACAAAGCATCTATGGGTGAAGGGGAACAAAAATTGTGAATTTCATGATCCCTGCCCCCCTGGGGCCTGAGGGGTGGGGCCAAAACCACTAAAATTAATGCAATCTTTAAAAATCTTCTTCTTTACTCCTGGACATCAAGCAGTCAAACTGTTTGCATGATTGTAATCAGCAATGAGTCCTCTACCAAAATTATGAAATTCATGGCCCTGGGATCAGAGGTTCTAGTGCTAGGGTGGGGCTAAATAAGAAGTTAGTGAAAATGCATTATTTCTTTGAAAATCTTCTCTGCTCCTGGGTATTAAATAAACTTGTTAAGTACATAGTTATGATGAGCAATAGTGCCTCTACCAAATTTGTGAATTTTATGGCCCCAGGGTCAGGGGTTCTGGTGTTAGGGCGGGGCTTTATTGATTATATAGTGAAAGTACATGAATTCTTTGAAAATCTTCTTCTCTGCTCCTGGGTATTAAATAAACTAATTAAGTACATAGTTATGATAAGCAAGAGTGCCTCTACCAAAATTGTGAATTTTATGGCCCCAGGGTCAGGGGTTCTTGTTTTAGGGTGGGGCTCTAATGATTATATAGTGAAATGCATGAATTCTTATCCTTTGCTCCTGGTTAATATGCTAATGATCTAATTACATATTTAAGGCCAGGATTTATTTTATTTTCAGTTTTACAAACCCTCCGCTCAAGGTTTTGAATTTTCAGAAAAAAATAAAACAATTTTTTTCTTTCCGATGTCAAATTTGAGTCGGGATCGAGATTTCAAATTTACGAACTCGCACTTCCGGTTTTACGATGAAACGGTGGGTAAATATAGCTAGATCTGAGAAGATATCTTGGTTTAGTGTAAAATTCATCGATAAGAGTGCCATTCAAAACGTTTCACCCGTTCAAAGGACAAATAAAATGCTGACGACTTTTTTGCACAATGACATGCTGGTGAGATAATTATGTATTCGTTTCAAAAGTAACTGTAAATTATTTTCCTCCCCCAGGTTTTAAACTGCCCGTGGTAGCTATTGCATATTGCCAGGGACATTGTTTAGGTCTCTGTTATAGCTTACAGTCTAAGCACCATTCTTCAGAAAAGGGTTGCTTATGCATCAGATGTAATGAATAAAACTATGGGAGAAGTGAAGTCCATTTGAGGAAGAAATAAACAATAACCTGAAGAAATTAAAAAAAATTTCAACTATTAAAAGGCAAGAATATACAAATATATACAGGCATGTAGTATCATTTGTATCAGCCAGAAAAATTATTTTACACTTAATTGAAAAAATGTTGACCCTACTCCCCAATACTCCCAGTCTGTTTTATGATAGGAATTATAATTTTAGGCATCAAGTAAATTTTAGAACAATGTCTACACATTCACCTAACACATATTAAAAAAAATGAAGATATATTGAAAGACTTTTAAAGAATTGATTTTTTAAATTATATTTTGATCAACATCACAAAATTTATATAACTGGCCCAAACTGACAGGTGATGAAATAAGCAATTAAATGTTCTACTTTCCTATTTGTAAGCATTATGTTTCCAGTGGTAAGGAGCTTATTAGGATAGCATAAAAAAAGAATGTACAAATGTTAATAATTGATATATCAAAAAAAAAAATTTTATTTCCTTCTCCTTCGGGACTTTTTTATTCTCATGTTCATAACTAAACCTAAACATAAAAAAAAATGCTGGCCTTATAATGAAGAAAGGGGCCTCTTTCAAAATAGATAATTTCAGGGCTGCTGGGTCAGGGGTACCAGGGGGGTACTTTGACTAATAAAATAAATTAATGCTTTGAAATCTGCCCTTTGATAAGCAATGGTGCCTCTTTCAAAATTTGTGAATTTCATGGCTTTTGGCTTAAAACACGAACCAAATACAATCGCTGGAAAGTTGTTACATGATACTCAGGTGACCTATAAGGCCCGTGGGCCTCTTGCTTTCTTTCCGATGTCAAATTTGAGTCGGGATCGAGATTTCAAATTTACGAACTCGCACTTCCGGTTTTAAGATGAAACTGCGGGTAAATAAAGCTAGATCTGAGAAGATAACTTGGTTTAGTGTAAAATTCATCGATACGAGTGCCATTCAAAACGTTTCGCCCGTTCAAAGGACAAATAAAATGCTGACGACTTTGTTGCACAATGACATGCTGGTGAGATGATTATGTATTCGTTTCAAAAGTATTATTTTCCTCCCCCAGGTTTTAAACTGCCTGTGGTAGCTATTGCATATTGCCAGCGACATTGTTTAGGTCTCTGTTATAGCTTACAGTCTAAGCATCATTCTTCAGAAAAGGGTTGCTTATGCATCAGATGTAATGAATAAAACTATGGGAGAAGTTAAGTGCATTTGAGGAAGAAATAAACAATAACCTGAAGAAATAAAAAAAAAGTTCAACTATTAAAAGGCAAGAATATACAAAATATATACAGGCATGCAGTATCATTTGTATAAGCCAGAAAAATTATTTTACACTTAACTTAATTGAAAAAATGTTCATCCTACTCCCCAATACTCCCTGTCTGTTTTATGATAGGAATATTATAATTAGGTCACCTGAGTAAACTCAGGTGACCTATTGCTATCTGCTTTTGTCCGTCGTCGTCCGTCGTGCGTTAACATTTAAACATTTTCAGCTTCTTCTCTGAAACCGCTGAACCAATTTCAACCAATTTTGGCATATAGCATCTATGCGTGAAGGGGAACAAAAATTGTGAATTTCGTGGTCCCTGCCCCCCTGGGGCCTGGTGGGTGAGGCAAAAACCACTAAAATTAGTGCAATCTTTAAAAATCTTCTTCTTTACTCCTGGACATCAAACAGTCAAACTGTTGGTATGATTGTAATCAGCATTAAGTCCTCTACCAAAATTGTGAAATTCATGGCCCCAGGGTCAGGGGTTCTGGTGTTAGGGCGGGGCTCTATTGATTATATAGTGAAAATGCATTAAATCTTTGAAAATCTTCTTCTCTGCTCCTGGGTATTAAATAAACTTGTTAAGTACATAGTTATGATGAGCAATAGTGCCTCTACATAAATTGTGAAATTCATGGCCCCAGGGTCAGGGTTTCTGGTGTTAGGGCGGGGCTCTATTGATTATATAGTGAAAATGCATTAAATCTTTGAAAATCTTCTTCTCTGCTCCTAGGTATTAAATAAACTAACTAAGTACATAGTTATGATGAGCAAGAGTGTCTCTACCAAAATTGTGAAATTCATGGCCCCAGGGTCAGGGGTTCTAGTGTTAGGGCGTGGCTCTATTGATAATATAGTGAAAATGCATTAAATCTTTGAAAATCTTCTTCTCTGCTCCTAGGTATTAAATAAACTAACTAAGTACATAGTTATGATGAGCAAGAGTGCCTCTACCAAAATTGTGAAATTCATGGCCCCAGGGTCAGGGGTTCTGGTGTTAGGGCGTGACTCTATTGATTATATAGTGAAAATACATTAAATCTTTGAAAATCTTCTTCTCTGCTCCTAGGTATTAAATAAACTTATTAAGTTCATAGTTATGATGAGCAAGAGTGCCTCTACCAAAATTGTGAATTTTATGGCCCCAGGGTCAGGGGTTATGGTGTTAGGGCGTGACTCTATTGATTATATAGTGAAAATACATTAAATCTTCGAAAATCTTCTTCTCTGCTCCTAGGTATTAAATAAACTTATTAAGTTCATAGTTATGATGAGCAAGAGTGCCTCTACCAAAATTGTGAATTTTATGGCCCCAGGGTCAGGGGTTATGGTGTTAGGGCGGGGCTCTATAATGATTATATAGTGAAAATACATTACATCTATTACATCTATGAAAATCTTTTTCTCTAATTCTGGGTAATAAGCAGATGAACTATTTATTTATTTATGATGGGTTCCTCTTCCAGAATTGCGAATTTCAAGGCCCTTGGGTCAGGGATACCAAAATGGGGGGGGGGGGGCTCTACTTATATACTGAAAATGAATTGTTTGAAATCTACTCCTTGGTATTAATCAAGTAATTTTGATAAGCAAGTGTGCCTTTTCAAAAATTGTGCAATGTGTAGACTTAGGGTCAGGAGTTCATGTGTGGTAGGAGCACTCCTGATTATTGCTGAATATTACGATGAATATTACTGATTAGTTGACATACATTTTTGTTCCCCAACCCTGCTTATGGGTATTAAGTAATCAAACTAAACAATTGCTAAGTGTAAAGTTTTGATTAGCAATGGTGCCTCTTTCAAAATTGTGAATGCCATAGTATCTAGCTTAAAACATAAACCAAATTCAATCATTTGAAAGTTGTTGCATGATGCTCAGGTGACCTATAAGGCCCGTGGGCCTCTTGTTTTAGGCAACAAGTAATGTCTATACATTCACCTAACACATATTTAAAAAATGAAGATATATTGAAAGACTTTTAAAGAATTGATTTTTAGGTCACCTGAGTAAACTCAGGTGACCTATTGCCATCTGTTTTCGTCTGTCGTCGTGCGTTAACATTTGAACATTTTCAGCTTCTTCTCTGCAACCACTGAACCAATTTCAACCAAATTTGGCACAAAGCATCTATGGGTGAAGTGGAACAAAAATTGTGAATTTCATGATCCCTGCCCCCCGGGGGCCTGAGGGGTGGGGCCAAAACCACTAAAATTAATGCAATCTTTAAAAATCTTCTTCTTTACTCCTGGACATCCAGCAGTCAAACTGTTTGCATGATTGTAATCAGCAATGAGTCCTCTACCAAAATTGTGAAATTCATGGCCCTGGGGTCAGGGGTTCTAGTGCTAGGGTGGGGCTAAATAAGTAGGTAGTGAAAATGCATTTTTTCTTTGAAAATCTTCTTCTCTGCTCCTGGGTATCAAATAACCTAACTAAGTACATAGTTATGATGAACAAGAGTGCCTCTACCAAAATTGTGAATTTTATGGCCCCAGGGTCAGGGGTTCTGGTGTTAGGGTGGGGCTCTATTGATTATATATAGTGAAAATACATGATTTCTTTGAAAATCTTCTTCTCTGCTCCTGGGTATTAAATAAACTAACTAAGTACATAGTTATGATAAGCAAGAGTGCCTCTTTCAAAATTGTGAATTTTATAGCCCCAGGGTCAGGGGTTCTTGTTTTAGGGGGGGGGGCTCTAATGATTATATAGTGAAATGCATGAATTCTTTGAACATCTTATCCTTTGCTCCTGGTTAATATACTAATGATCTAATTACATATTTAAGGCCAGGATTTATTTTATTTTCAGTTTTACAAACCCTCCGCTTAAGGTTTTGAATTTTCAGAAAAAAATATAAAAAATTTTCTTTCCCATGTCAAATTTGAGTCGGGATCGTGATTTCAAATTTAAGAACTCGCACTTCCGGTTTTAAGATGAGAAGATAAGCTTGGTTTACTGTAAAATTCTTCGATACGAGTGCCATTCAAAACGTTTCACCCGTTCAAAGGACAAATAAAATGCTGACGACTTTTTTGCACAATGACATGCTGGTGAGATAATTATGTATTCGTTTCAAAAGTATCTGTCTGTAAATTATTTTCCTCCCCCAGGTTTTAAACTGCCCGTGGTAGCTATTGCATATTGCCAGCGACATTGTTTAGGACTCTGTTATAGCTTACAGTCTAAGCATCATTCTTCAGAAAAGGGTTGCTTATGCATCAGATGTAATGAATAAAACTATAGGAGAAGTTAAGTGCATTTGAGGAAGAAATAAACAATATCCTGAAGAAATAAAAAAAATCAACTATTAAAAGGCAAGAATACACAAATATATACAGGCATGTAGTATCATTTGTATCAGCCAGAAAAATTATTTTACAC